GCACATAACAACAACAACAGAGATGCCTGGGAAGAAAAGTTTGGTGAGTGCTTCCAAAAGGTCATACCTGTGAAACCCTATGGGAGCACAGTCCTACTCTGCAACACATGGGGTCACCACGAGTTGGGACTGACTCTATGGCAACTAGTAACTGGTATGTACATCAGCAGATGTACGTTGGTGCATCAGCAGAAAAGACTAAATTGCTAGAAAAGAACTTCATGATTGGTACAATAGAGAGTCAGTGAAAAGAAAACAACCCTCACTGAAACAGACTGACACAATAGCAAGAACAATAGTGTCAAATATAACAAAGATCAAGAAGATGGCACAAGATGGGGCAGTGTTTAATGCCACTGTTACACATAAAGTCATCATGAGTGGGGAGCCAATTGCGCAACAACCAACAACAAAATTGAGTAGGTATGGTCTCTCAATTTCAAAGAGCCCTCTTAAAAGTCTTTTAAGTCCCTGTATGCAATTAGGTTCTTGTATGCAATTTTTCCAGTCAGAGCATTCTGAACATTAAATTTTCAGTTGATCAATAAACTATTAGTGAGCCCATCTATCCATCTTCATAACCTTGATGTGAGATTATCTTTACTTTTGAAATGAGTATTTCACAAATTTTCAACGAGATCCAAAACTTGGTATAATTTTATATTTTTCCAGTATGAAATTTAAATTTCAGTTAAGACATGTGCTATCAACACTAATGAATGCATTAATTACTTTCAGATTTGGATTTTTTGACCTCTTGCATACATGAAAGCCGTATGCTATTGGAAAAATCAAATTATAATAGTTTTCATTAGAACCAGAATATAAAATCTGAAGTAAATAAGTGGATTCATTTTCCTATTTCTGATTCCTAACACTGACTGACATTTACTATTTCATTTTGAAAATTATACCTATTATAATTTAAATTTTAAAAAATTTAAACTCAGGAATTATTTTATAACAGAACATCAAATATTTCCTGGGTAGGTGGAATCTTTTATATTACATTTTTATTTTGCAAGAAAATAAATTATACAACTTAAAAAATAAAATTCAAAAAATTAAGCAGTTCATCAAAATATTTCAGTCTACTGCATACAGAAACTGCTACCATTTAAAATTGTACAGTATTACCATCGCAGTATGTAGTGGCACACATTCAAAATCGTATATACCATACAAGAATAGATTATAACTTAGGATAACTCAAATTTGTCCAACACTCCAAACAACATATAGTATAGATGACAGGAAAGCTTTCATGTAATGTTTATTTCACAAACATAACCTTGGAAGAATTGGTAAGATAGCATCCTCGTCATTTACATGAAAATACAAAAACCAGCTTGAATTTAAGATAGCAAATCTTTCTGTAAAACTAGTAAATCTTCTACCCAAGTTGAATTTTTAAAATGTGCCCTTTTAGCAGGGCTAATGACATCCCACTGCAAATAATGCAAAATACTTTTAACAACGTAAGTCATATCTCATATTAAATTCAATAGAAAATAAAAATAAGAAAGCTAACATTTCATTTTGGAAAATTTAACCTTTACGCTCAAAATAAGAGCAAGAGATCTAAAATAAACAGGTTGACAGACCTCAAGGACCCCTCCAATCAATGTAAAAATTGGAAGACTTCAGAATTTATTTCAAAATCCTCATTTAATCACTGGAACAGTAATGTTTTAAAATTTATCTCATTGTAAGCATTAAAACTCTTCTATATTTTCACTTCATAAATTTTGTTTCATGTCCATTTACTCTGGAAATGAGTTGGCAACTAAGGTTAGCATTTTCCAGATGGCAGATCGTAAGTGAGAAGATGAGTGATCAAAGCTTCATCGATGAAGTGTCCTGTTGCCATACTGCTAGTGAAAAAACTAGGTAATTTTTTTTGGTTTGGATTCTTAACCTTAAGTATGTCAGGTTTCATCCCTGCTCAGGTAGGAATAATTCTAAGTGCATACTGGAGAAAGGGACCCGATAAAGGATGCTAAATGTGATTCTGTATTTCAGCAAATTGCTGGTGAGATTATTTTTTCAGGTTTTTGTCTGAATTACCAAATCTCTTGTCAAAACATATTTAAAGAAAATTCAACAATGGTATAGGCACCTTGTCAACTAAATGGTTTTCATAAACACCAAAAAGTAGTTAGGTAAGTTTTTGTATACCTAAGGAAAAGATACAAACTGTTAATTCAACAATATTTACTGCTGTTCAATTGCACAGAATACAATTAGGACATAATTAGCTATTAAACAATTTATAAAACTCAATAGAAAACTTTGTGATGGATTTTAAGTTACCCACTTTTGCATTTATCTTTATGAATCAGAACATCATGGCTCTTAAATTAAATGACCAAAAAGATTAGAAATTCCAAAAAGTGCTGACAAGTATGGTTTACAATAACAGACCTTAAACTTGAAAAATGGCTTGTAATTTTACCCAATTCTTTATTTCCTCCTCTGGTATTCTCGTATTGTGACAATTCTGCCATACTAGACTACTTGTTAAACATCAGGGCCACATTATTGTAAAATTATTTTTTCTAAATTTCAAATTTATCCATTGTTAGCAGTCATTTAATTAGAGAAACAATGAGCACTAATTTAATTCTGAATAGTATGCCTGGTCTAATAACTGACATATGCTACCTTAGAGGTAAAGTATTAACATATTAAAAACAAAATTGATTTCTTGAGTTTCAGAATAGGCATTTGACTACAGCAAACAAAACCTTAAATATTTAAAATCTGCTTTCCTTCCTTTCAGCAGACGGCTCACAAAGCATCTTGGGATTGGGGATTGACTTCAGGAAATGCCCTTGAAAGCATTTGCTAGTAATATAATACTGTAATGCTTTTCAGTGCTCTAGCACTCTGTGTTCTACTATCTTCAAAACCAAATTTTAAACTATTACTTAATATCAAACAAAAAATAAAATAATTTGAAAGAAGGTTTTAAACATGCACCACAATGAATATAAAAATCCATGTTAAACCATTCTTTCCCAACGGGGAGTAAGGTTTTTTAAATGTTCATGTCCTCAAGTCCTGAAACCTCTACTACTCTGGTATTCAGTTGCCAGCAACTATTAAGTTGCTACTTTGGATTGACTAAAAGGAATAAGGTAAGTGTTGCCCACTGAACATTTAAAAAATGTTTATTTTTAAAATATAAATATATATGTACATATATTTGGCAAGTTTACTGCTCATATTAAGATTGCAACAATTTTGCTTCTGCTTTTCAGGTCACCTTATGTTGTGGTTTCCCTCTTCTTTCTGGTCATTGATACTTTACTATTATTTTTTAAAAAGACAAAGTCTTCCTTTTCAGAAACCTGAGGCTATAAATCCCTAATCATGAGACTTCAAAATACCAAAATATTTCCATTCTACAGATTAAGAGATTAGTTACATAACTGTTTATATCAGAGAAGGAGATTTTTTCATTTGTAAAATAAATTTAGATATGGCATAATAAATATTAGTTATATAAATATTAAATGTGTTCACAAACACACTTAATACGCTTGTTTTGCTATTTTGACTCTGCAATCATAATGACCTATCTCCATAAATTTTTTTTAAACATTTGAAGTAACAATCAATACAGCTTCACTTTTTCAAAACAAACTCTTCAGCCATGTTAAGATAAAAACTTACCATTTAACAGCAAACAACTAAGACAGCAGTCTCCTGGTTAAAGATAACCAACATTTCCATTTTTAGGTCACAATTAAAATCCAGTCATTATACTGAAGCAATGTGTGAACAAACAATCTGATACTATTAAATGCTTATCTTCTCACCTATATATGCCCTCTCCCAATGTTACATGTAGACCAGCTCACTCTTTTGAGCAAAAGAAACCAAGAGTGCTATTTTTATTTCTAATTGCATTTTAAAAAAACAAAACAGCATTTTTCAGTGCATGGATATCTGAAGATCCTTCCTTGTGCAAGTATTTTTTTTTTTTTAAAGAGAGAAAAAAGAAACAAGAATCCCACCCTCCCCCTTCCCAACTTTATTTCTCCTGGTGGGTAGAAATCAAATTTACTTTTAAAAATTCATAATGGGCTCTTCATGAATGCAAGTTTCTCCACAAAACAGCATGCTGTTAAAGAGTGTGCAACATGAAGGGAATGCCATCATGCTAACTAATGTGATTGGCAAAATAGAGTTGTTTTGTAAGATAAGGCAGAGATTTTAATATTTATGTAATCGAAGTCCAAATAAACCTTTCTCCAGCACAAACTGTTAGCACTTTCTGCCTAAGCACTCCAAAATTTGGGTTCTTAATATTGTCCGTGATATTAGAAATTATGCCATATATATGAAAGTATTGATATCGGATTCATCTCTTCTGATATATTTGTGCTCTATTAGCCATTCTATTTGTTCTTTTATCATTTTCTTTTGTGGCAAGAACATGTTTTTCAAAATTTCTACTAATTCAGTCTGCAGTTGAGCATTACTAATTTTCTTTCTCATTTTCATTATTTGTATGATAGCTTCCTGAAAGGAAAAAGAAAAATGAAAGAATATTAATATTTTAAGCACAACAAAACCAAAAATCACTTTTTATATACTTTACCATCTACCCAACATGAATAGCAATCACTAAAGCATTAATCATGAGACCAATTTCTTTTACTTAAAAACTAAAAATAATTTTTTCACTCACTGTAAAAGAAAATCTGATTATATCGTAGAGATTTTAAAAAATGTAGACAAAACAAAATTACCAATAACAGCCCTGTTGAAAGACAACCACAGCTAATGTTCTGGAATTTCCTTTCATTCCTTTTTCCACACTATGCACATTTAAAAAATTTATCTTATCTGCGACCACAATATGTATACTACTTTATATTGTGTACACATCAATTATGATAAACCCCTTACACATACATTTATTTCCCTTTCTTCTCAGTGTTATGTCTTTGTGTAGTAGTAAAGAACATGTGGAGTCTATTTTAAAAATCAGTAACTATTATATATTTACCAAATACTATGGTCATTCTGTATTGACCTAATTAAATGTTTGAGAACCTCTGGTGGTGCAGTGTTAAAGTACTGGGATGCTAGCCAAAAGGTTGGCGGTTCAAACCCACCAGCTGCTCTGTGGGAGAAAGATGGGGCAGTCTGCTTCCACAAAGATTTACAGCTTTGGGAAACCTATGGGGAAGCTCTACTCTGTCCTATAGGGTTGCTGTGAGTTGGAATCAACTCGATGGCAGTAGGTTTAGTTTGGTTTTAATTAAGTCTCTTTAACTTTTTAAAGGAGCTTGCATTTTTTTAATCTAGGTCAATGTTTATCAATATTTTCCTTGATAATTTCTTTCATTACTATTAATAGTGATAATTTCAAAATGTTCTTTCTCTTTTGTCTTTTTCAGTACAAGCTTTCTCAAAATTACATAAGGCATCTATCTGCCTTGGTGGATATTAAAATTTGATATAAAATAAGTATAAAGAGAGAAAATGATGTAATATTTGTTTTTAACATTCAAAATGGAATTTTGCTGCCAAGTAGTAAGTTTGGGAGTAAAGCACTATCAAGTCAGGGAAAATATCCTTCAGTTTCTTCTTTAACACACCAAGAGCTAGGCTCTTGATCACCAGGGTTTATGTGAATGGTCCAAATAGAAAGGAAGAGGAAGAAACGCTGGTCTCTCCAGGTCCTTGATGATTATAGGAATCAGGCAGGAGCAAGACGGACAATTGCCAACTTGTCCTAATTTCTGATTTTAGTAAAGGTAAGGATGGTGGCTGGGTTAGAGAAGTTAACAGGATAATAGAGAGCAAAGGGGTTCTGGCCCTGGTTCCCACTTGGGATGCTGGAGATCACTGAAAGAGGGGCATGGTATGATGATCAGTCAATCAGGGAACCTTCCTCAGTTCCCATGTGACACAGATACAGTTTAAAAGTAATGGGCCTGCCACAAGGCCTTTAATTCCAGGGCATGGTAATCCTGCAGTAGATAATGATGATGACAGTATGCCATGTAGGCCAAAAGGACAAAGAGTATATGGCAGAGAGTCAGAGAGCACAAGAGGTCAGTAAGAACAGAACACAGACAGTCACAGCAGGAAGCAGTCATGTGGCCCTTACCAAGTAGAAAAATAATAAACCATGAGTTCATCTGCTAGAGAGATATCAACAGTAGGCAGCAACTGAAAGTCAAATTCTCATCAGTGACATAAATCATTCTATAACTGCCAAACACAAGAACCCAGAATACTGTCAATCTGTATGGATCTGAAGATTCCTTCACTGTACATCAAGTGAATTTCCCATCACCCTCAATAACTCCAGATGCTACCAGTGAAAGAACAAAGAAAGGAGATGTATGGAAGAGTATCAGGAACTAATACAAAAATATGAACATTACCTAAAGAAACTGCTTAAATTACTGGCTTGGGCATCATTATGGATCAGTTTAAAGTGAAACAAAAGAACTTCATTTTTTTCTTCACATCTTATCGCATGATTACTGTATTACCTGCCACTCCATTACATATTTCAAACTGTTTAATCCACTTGAGTTTTTTTCCTTGTATATTTCCCATAAGATAGGAATATATTCTGATTTGCCCTGGAACTGTAAATTATCCAATACTTCTTTCTGAATCTATTCCATTTCCATGGACCATGCATGGTTTCGCAAAATTCTATCATGCGATCTCCAGCATTATTTCTATCACCAAGGCCATTATTTTCCAACTACTGGGGATTCTTCGTTTCCAATTTCTGTATTCCAATCACCAGTGATAATCAATGTATCTTGACTGCATGTTTGGTCAATTCCAGACTGCAGAAGTTGGTAAAAATCTTCAATTTCCTTGTCTTTGGCTTGGCTGTTGGTGTGTAAATTTGAATAACAGTAGTATTAACTGGTCTTCCTTGTCAGCATATGGATATTATCCTATCAGTGACAGCACTGTACTTCAGGATAGCTCTTGATACATTCTTTCTGATAATGAATGCCATGCCCTTCTTCAATTTGTCATTCCCAGCATAGTGGTCATACTGTTGTCTGATTCAAAATGGCCAAAACCAGTTCATTTCAGCTCAGTAATACCTAGGATATCGATCTTCCATTTCATTTTTGACAATTTCCAATTTTTCTAGATTCATACTTTGTGCATTCCATGATCTGATTATTAATGGATATTTGTAACTGTTTCTTCTCAACTTGAAGATGATGTGCCACATCAGCAAATGGAGGTCCCAAAAACTTTACTCTATCCACATCATTAATGTCACCTCTACTCTAAGGAGGAAGCTCTTCCCCCCAGTAGTATTCTGATTGCCTTCTGACCTGAGGGGCTCATTTTCTGGCACTGTATCAGACAATGTTCCAGGGCTAAAATTTTCCAGTAATGTATCAGACAGTGTTTCACTGCTATTCATAAGGTTTTACTTGGCCAATTCTTTGAGAAGTGAATGGTCTCTTCCCTCTTCTGAGTGTGTCTAGCCAACCACCACAGTACAACAAACTGACAGACAAGTTCATCTCCCTTATCTGTTCCAAACTGCTCCTCTCACTTTCTGGCTTCCCTTAGCATCCAAACCCACCACCCTGGCTTGTTCCCTTTCCAGCCTCCCTCAGCCACTCTAAACCTGCCACCCCAGCTCACTCCCTTCCTGGCCTCCCAGGGTGGTGGGTTTGGAACAACTAAGGGGAAATTATAGAGTAATAGAAATATTCTGTAAGTTAATTTGGTGGTGGGCTATATATATATATATTAGTATATACTAACTTATCAAAACTCTGTGTGGCCACTGCAGTGAATAATAAAGGAGAGAGGTGGTGGTACTTTGGGAGGAATGGTTGGTGAAAGGGCTGGAGGGAGGCAGCATTTCTGGCCTGGCAGGAATAGGCCTTGGGCTATTGATGGTGATTCTGTCTTCCTCTTGTGGGATTAGAGGAGGTCAGAACATGTGGCCTCCTTGCCGTTTTTGCACCATTCCTCCATGCACTCCTGCCCCCTAAGCTGTCTCCCCGTGCATAAGTAGCACTTCTTCCTCCCATGATTTTTCTCTCCAAGGAGTGTATCTACCTCAGCTAAATATTCATCTCATATGCCTGTCTTTTGTTTGGCAGGAAACCACAGGTGTTGGTTCAATTCCAGACCTGAAGGGCAGCTAGGGGCCATAATCTCAGTGATTCCACCAGGCTCTATTAGGCCAGCAAACCTGGCCTCCCCCCTCCCCTTTTTATTCTCCAAATGATTTTGAGTTTTGTTCCACGTTGTTCTCCCTTTCTATCAAGGATCTCCTACATAGATCCCCTTCCAAGTGGATAACAATGGTAGCCGGGCACCATCTAGTTCTTCTGGTCTCACAGTCGTATAGGCTGCGGATCGGATGGTGTACCAGTCACTAGGACTAACTGTTTCCATGAATTTTGGTTTTCTTCATTCTTCCTTGCTCTGGACAAGGAGAGACTCATCGTTGCATCTAGATGGCAGTTTGCTAGCTTTTAAGATCCCAGTCGCTACTCACCAAAGTAGGAGGTGGAACAGTGTTTTGTATAGTAGGTTATGCCAATTGAGCTTGAGGTCCCCTGCAATTATGGTCCCAAGCCCACAGGTTCAACTACTCGGTCCCTCTGGGTAGCTGGCTGTGACCAAGCATTGACCACAACCTTGCCCCTTGTCAGCTTTACTATACACCTGGGAATTCTGATCATTCACATAAACTTATAGGACCATTGGCTGCCAACCCTATACATGTTCTTGGATACACTCCCCACTTCATGTTGTTGTTGTTGTTGTTGTTTGCCATCGAGTCGGCCCCGACTCATAGCGACCCCTCCTTGGGTTTCCGAGGCAGTATCACTACGGAAGTAGGATTGCCCAACCTTCCTTCCGAGGAGTGGCTGGTGGGTTTGAACCGCCAGCCTTCTGGGTTGGCAGTCAAGTGCCTTAGGCACTATGCTACCAGAGCTCCTACTTCATAGACATACTTAATAGTTCAGTCTGTCCACCCATCTATCCACCCATATACCCATGTTTACCTTCACTGACAATGCAGTACTATATGTGCAAAAGGGTTCATCTTTGTTGTCTATACCTCCCATGTACCTCTCTATGTCTTTCTCATCCTCACCGGTGTCATACTGGTCACTCACATTTGGTACATTGCTCTTCTCTTCACCCAAATCAATACTTTATCTATCTAACAGAGTTCCCTCCCCGCCCCTCCTACCCCTGGTAACCAACAAAGAAAATTTCCTGCTATAGATAAACCTTTCAACTTTTACAATAACGGACTAATACAATATTTGTCCTTCTGCGAGTGACTTACTTCACTCAGCATAATGTCCTCCAAGTTCATCCAGGTTATGCGGTATTTTGCAGATTCTACATCATTCTTTAGTGTTGCATAGTATTCCATTGTGTGTACATACCATAGTTTTGTTATCCATTCCTCAGTTGATGGACACCTAGGTTGTTTCCATCTTTTGGCTGTTGTAAATTGTGCTGCGATGAACATGGGTGTGCATATATCTGTTCTTGTCATGGCTCTCACTTCTTTAGGGTATATACCAAGTAATGGAATGGCTGGGTCAAATGGTATTT